CATCGTGCATCAGGTCCAAGGCTGCCAGGTCTGCCAGGAGAACCAGCGAGCCTCGCGCCACGTGGAGATCACCCCCTGGCCGTTCCCACACCCTAATCATGGTAACCTTTAACGTAACTTTTAGTAGTGAGTAACCTATAAAATAAAGGTTACAAGTCGTTTATTTTTCGTGTTTTCGTTATTCTTGCGGTGACTAAAGGTTACAACAGCCAAAATTTGACGATGCAAAGGTTACCATGAGAATTAGAGCCATGTAACTTTTGTGCAGTAACGTATGAATAACGTAGTAACCTATGCACTCTCGTCCGAAAAAAAAAAAAAAAACATCGCCTGATGAGAGTCCCTCTTTCACCAGGAGAGGGAAACAGCAGAGGAGCGCGTCGACAAGGCCACCAAGGCTCCGAGGTTTCATTTTTATAGTTTTAGTTTTAACGCGAAAGAAGTATACTTCTTTCGCGTTAAAACTAAAACTATAAAAAAAAAGTGAAAGCCGTTTACAAATCCCTGTAACGCCGAATTAGAGCGCAGCTCTTGAGGAGGAGGAGGGAAGGGTACTGGGGGGGGGGGGTCAAGTGACCTTGGGTGGGGGTCACGTGACCTAGGGGGGTCACGTGACGATGACGATGCCGATGACGTCATGAGCAACGATGACGATGCGGATACCGATGGCGTCATCAGTGACGTCACTGATGACGTCATCAGTGATGATGACAATGACGATGCGGATGCCGGTGACGTTATCAGTGATGATGACGATGACGATGCGGATGCCGGTGACGTCATCAGTGACGTCACTGATGACGTCATCAGTGATGATGACGATGACGATGCGAATGCCGGTGACATCATCAGTGATGATGACGATGACGATGCGGATGCTGGTGACGTCATCAGGGACGTCACTGATGATGTCATCAGTGATGATGACAATGACGATGCGGATGCCGGTGAGGTCATCAGTGATGATGACGATGACGATGCGGATGCCGGTGACGTCATCAGTGATGATGACGATGACGATGCGGATGCCGGTGACGTCATCAGTGACCTTGGGGTGACCTTGGGGTCACGTGACCTTGGGATGACCTTGGTTACGCCGACGGTGACGCCGCTCAAGCCGGGAACGGGCCCCTAAGAGCTGCGCTCTAAAATGAAACCTCGGAGCCTTGGTGGCCTTGTCGACGCGCTCCTCTGCTGTTTCCCTCTCCTGGTGAAAGAGGGACTCTCATCAGGCGATGTTTTCTTTTTAGAGCGCAGCTCTTAGGGGCCCGTTCCCGGCTTGAGCGGCGTCGCCGTCGCCGTCGGCGTCGTCGTAACCAAGGTCATCCCAAGGTCACGTGCCCCTCCCAAGGTCATCTCAAGGTCACGTGACCCCCGGAAGGTCACGTGACCCCCAAGGTCACGTGACCTTGGGGGTTACGTGGGGTCATCTTGGGGTCACGTGACCCCTCCAGGTCACGTGACCCCTCCCAAGGTCATCTCAAGGTCACGTGACCCCAAGATAACCCCACGTGACCCTTTGAAGGTTAAGTGACCCCCAAGGTCACGTGACCCCCAAGGTCTTGAGGTGACCCCTCTGAGGTCACGTGTCCCCTCTGAGGTCACGTGACCCCCGAGGTCACGTGGTCTCCTCCCCAAGGTCACGTGACCCCCAATGTCACATGACCCCCTGAGGTCACGTGACCCCTCCCAAGGTTGTCTCAAGGTCACATGACCCCAAGGTGACCCCCAGGTCACGTGACCTCCTAAGGAGGAGGAGGAGAAGGAGGAGGGGTCACGTGACCTCTCTAAGGTCACGTGACCCCCGAGGTCACGTGGTCTCTTCCCCAAGGTCCCGTGACCCCCCGAGGTCACGTGACCCCCTGAGGTCACGTGGGGGTCACCTTGGGGGTCACGTGACCTTGAGGTGACCCCCACGTGACACCCAAGGTCACGTGACCCCCAGGTCACGCATCCCCGAGGTCACGTGACCCCCTCCCCGAAGTTACGTGACACCCCCCCCCCCCCCGAGGTCACGTGACCCCCCGGAGCATATTAAAGAATGAGGGGAGAAGGAGGAGGGGTCTACCCTCCCCTCAGTACCCTTCACTCCTCCTCAAGAGCTGCGCTCCAATTCGGCATTACAGGGATTTGTAAACGGCTTTCACTTTTTTTTTTTTCGGACGCCTTGCTGGCAGCTTTCTTTCGCAATAAAAAGAGCAAAGAAGAACAATGGCTGTGAAAGCCTAAGTTGCTTAGCGGTGTTGCATGCTGGGAAGTCAGTACGGCGGGAATGAGTGACCGCTGTCGCGGCTGTCTCGCGTGCGCCCGGGCCGTTTGAGCGCCATTTTTTGGCGGCACATTTCTTGCGCCAATACTCTGTTCGGAGCGAGTTGGAAGACTCTCGGTCTGTTTCGACAAACAACGGAAGCAGTTATGTCGCTAACCAGCAGGGACATGTGGGGTGTACTGCGCGGCAGTTGCAGGGAGCCTTTGTGTGACTGTCAGCGCTGCGTCGTCGTGTGCCCATCAGACGAAAGCGCGGCAAAGATTCGTTGTGAGTTCTGCAATCACTGCCCAAGCATTCACGGAAGAATCACCGATTTGGGTAAGTGACGTTTCTTCCAAGCGGAACCGTTGCAGTAGCGACGTGCGAGCTCTCATTTTCAAAGCTCGTTATTTGTGTGCATTTAGGACCAAAATGATTCTGAGCCGTTTTATACGAGCGCATGTCTGTCCTCGTGGCACTCTGTGTCGATTTAGCTCTTTTTATGTGTAATGCCTGTAGATGAGCCCTGCCGTAGCTGTCTAGTGTCGTCAGTGAACGGTGTGGTGGTAATGCACGACTAATTACTGCCTATTTACATGCTTGCGCGCGCGGTGGGGATATGCGTGCTTTTGTGCATTTTACATAGGCGCAAGCTTGCAATGCACGGCTGCGGTATTATTATTTTTGGTAACTGAATTTTGTAACTCTGTATGTCTTATCACTCCTTGCGGAATGGCTTTTGCACCGAAACTTTTCGCACTACGTTCAGGGTACAAGAAAATATTTAATGTGTGGCATGCAAAATTGATATAGGCATATATCCCTGTTTTAGTCAAGAAATAAAACATCCTGCTCGTTTAAGGTGTGGTGCAGAATGAACGGTGTAGGACAAACAATTATATCGTTTTGTTGTGTAATTATTCCGTCACGTTTATTTATTTATTTTTATTCTACCAATAGGTGACACAGAGCAAGGACTTACTGTGCCACCTATTCTACCAATAGTTGGCACAGGGATAAATGGACCGAGTGAAGTGCAACAGCCGTATCATCCTGATTGTTCGAAAGGTTGGTGGGCGCAACATGCTCGCAAATATATATTAAAAAATCCCGTTATTTTACTGAAAGTCGCGCCTTAATAGCCAATCACTGTGTCCTAAATGAACCGCTAGTTCGATGCAGGTTTTTTTTTATTGCTTTCTGATTTTTAAGTTTACATTTTACCGGTACGATAATAATTTACCACTAATTACTGCCAGATCACATGCCTTTGAGAAAAGTGGTACCGCGCATGCTTTTAATGCTTGATTTAGGCAAGCCTTCAGTGTATCGCTATATAAGTGTTCAAGACGTAAGTTCTAGAATTCCGTTCATATTTTCGATGCTTATGGGCTTATTTATGCATGACAAGTTCTTGGTGCTGTATTCCGCGCACGAGGAAAATATTTCTTGCTTGGCTACAGAATGGATGTATGCATGGACCATGCTTTATTTAACATGCAATCCAGCCTGCTCGACTGAGTCATCAGTGCAGCATCGGCGGCGTGAAGCAACCAATAGTAAAGTAGTGCAATTTCCCGCTTCGTTGTGAACTGATCCCATCTGTTTTTACCCTTTGTTCTACCTACGGAACACAGACCACGAGAGAGAAGTTGCCGAAGTGCTGCAAGAGAGTGCACAGCCTGGCTGCTCGAAAGATGGCTCACTATGGGTGGAAGCTCCACCTCCTTCGGACCTTCCTGTAGACATGAGCCAGCAACTTGCCATTAATGAAGCTCCTGCGCCATCAAAACCTGCACCCAAGGTCAGCAAACACGTTTGTGTGGCGTGCAGGTTCACCATCAGGCATTTTTATGCCTTTATGCGACATGTTCGGGAAGTGCACATGAACAAGGTTGCTTTGGTGTGCACTAGGTGTCGGAAGCGATTTGTCTGCATGGCTCAATATAAATTGCATACCAATTGTAGATGCACATCTTCAGAAAGCAATGATTACCGCGTACTAAATAGGCATGAAAAGCAATATACTGTTGACTTGGCTGAGAATCGGACATCATTTTTTAATACAGCTGAAAGCTTAAGCAATGCTTCGTCAAGTGTTGCGTCTTGTTTTGAGGAAACTGATTTGGATTGTGACTTAGAAAGTGTTCCAAGCCCAGATATTCTTACAAAGCTGTCATGTCTGGCGAGACAGCTTGAGTCGCAATATCGCTGTCCGATTGTTGGAGTTGATGGAGTTGTTGCTAAAATAGCAGACATCTTACAGACTGCTGGTACCGCAATCGATGTGTCCGCACTCGAAAATGACCGCGCAAGAAAGGCCCTGTACACTTCTCAGGGGATTTATGTTCCACCAGAGGAAGTAAAACTTCCGCATGGTGAGAAAGCTTACTTTGTGCCACTCAAGAGACTAATTGAAAATTTGCTTCGTCATCCAATCTTTTCCCGCCACTTTCAGTCTCCATTGCAGACTTCAAACAGTGCGTTGCTAAAAGATTTTACTGATGGCATGTGAGTTCAAATGCACCCAGTAGCAAGCACCCAAGAGAAGAACACTATTGTGATGCTTTTGTATTGCGATGACATTGAATTGGCCAATCCACTAGGCATGAAAAGAGGTCGCAGAGGCAAGCTAACAGTATTTTATGTCTCTTTTGTAAACCTACCACCATCAGAAAGGTCCAAGCTAGCCAACATTTTTTTGCTTGGAGTGGGGCAAGCAAGAGCTCTTAAATCATTAGAAGCAAGACATATGCTTCTTCAAGACTTCATTGCCACTCTAAATTTACTTTACAGAGGCTGCACGTTAGAAACTGTATGTGGTGAAAAGCTCTTTTTTGGTTTTTTGCTTGCCTATATTGGAGACGCATTGGCATGTCACAATTTAGCAGGCTTTAAGGAAAGCTTCAGCAAAAATGTTCGCCTTGCTTGTCGAACTTGCACAGTACCCACATCTGAATTTCATAATTTTCACTATGAAATTCAATGTCCACTACGTACGGAGTCTCAATATGAAGAGAACCTTAGGGCAATTGAGGCAGCTAGCTCAAAGAAAGACCGTACTGAATTGTCAGCACAGTGCGGGATTAAGTCAAAATCAGTCCTCGCAGAAATTCCTAATTTCTCAATACTCACGGACTTGCTGTATGACCCTATGCACATTTTGTTGGAGGGAGTCATTCCTCTGGAGTTGACACTTCTTAGTAAGTTCATTGTAAGGGAGGCAGCATGGATGACCTTAAGCCAGCTTAACACTGCCTTGTCTCGGTTCTGCTTTCATAGGCAAGTGAGTAAGAGTGACTATCCTCGCAGCTTTGAATCCGACTTCAGTTTTCCATTTGCAGCAAGCTCCAGTTTAATACTCCATCTTCATTTTCTTTTTAATATTGATGAATATCTGCCTGAAGAGGCTACGGAAGAACCACATTGTGAATGTTTTGTGCTGCTTTGCATCATCACACAGTTATTTCTTTCTCCTGCTATCTCCCCAGATGCACTTGGAGACATTGAGTGCCTAGTAGCACGCCATAATGAGCTTTTTGTGCAGCTGTATGGTTCCAGCTCATTTAAACCGAAATTGCACATGCTGGTGCACATGGTCACTCAGATACGGCGCTTCGGTCCTTCCCATCATCATTGGGCAATGAGATTCGAAAGTAAAAACGCTCTTCCAAAGTCGAAGAAGTTCTGGAATTTCAAAAATATTCCATTATCTGTCGCAAATTACTTTCAGATGAAAATGTCAAGTGACCTGTGGTTAGGACCAGGGCAGCCTAAGCTGAGCTTTCCACAATGTGAGACTGCACCAGCAGCCGGTGTACCAGTCAGCTTAACATCTGATTTTTTGCCATGTGGACTGCAGCCTAATGCTGTTGGTCAAACTGTTATGCCCGTACGTTCTGCCTTTATCTCTGGTGTCAAGATCTCTATTTCTAATGTGGTTGTGTTTGAACAAAATGACCATGCAATGTTTGGGGAAATAGAAACAATTGTACCTTGGCAAGGCAAGATTTTCATCGCTGTTCTGGTTCTGGTCAAAGTGAGCTATACAAAGCGACTGAATGCATTTATTCTTCTCAAAACACCACACGCCATAGTGATTAAACCTGACTATCTTTTGTATCCTTGGCCACTGTATACATACGCTAAAAATGAGGCTTTTTATGCTATTACAAAATGTATTCATGAATCACCTCTGTAGTAATGCCTGCTGTTTTTTAGCGATTTTTTTTTCGCAACGTGGCTTATTGTAAATTAAGTGAGCCTGTTTGTTGTGACAGGTGTTTTGGGAATAAAGCTTGGTTTATTTCCTCTTAGGTATTCTGTGACTGGCTCCTTGCAAACATGCCAGAATTCTCTGACTGTGTCCAGCCTATCCTGAAAGGGGAAGCAGTCTCGGAAATGTCACAAACAAAACTGTCAAGACAGCTGCGTGCGGAAATGACGTTATTCCTGGCGTAAGTTCTCCTGTTTGCTCTTTGTTGAAGCTAACTATATCTTGTTGACATTTTTTATTGTTTTATATGGAGCTTCCAAAAATGCACCATAATATACGTGAGGTAGCGACTTTAGACTAACGGATGGACATTCTACAAATCTAGTCGGCCAATTCGCATCAGCCCCTGGTTTAGCATATAGCATACGGACAGGAAAGAAAGATGCGGTGCGTGAGCAGATGATTGCATGGTATATTTTCAGATTTCATAGGCCTCCCTGAAAGTATAGGAAAGCTAACCCATAAAACACATAATGCCAGCATACTTTTAAACCTTACCTTAAGTCGCAAGCAACATTTGGTTATGTCAGTGGCCCTTGCCTATATAGTATATTTAGCTCATTTTCACTTTCCTTTGGCGAAGGTTAGACAGAAACGTCTTAGTAGTGATGCATTCTCTTCTAGTGAGCATGATCTCATTACCACTGGGAACAAGGGCGAACGGCGCTCGATGTACAAAGCCCTTGGGGAGGCGCTTGCCACGAAATACCCACTTCTTTTGTGGGATGAGCCAAAACCTGAGAGCCATCTTGTTGACAAACGGACCCATGTTTACGTAAGTACCTGGACATAGCTTATTCCTAAAATAGACTAATGTTCCTATAGCAGTGAGGGTTGTCGTTTATACAGTTATTCATAGCAGTTTTGTTGTCTTAAGATAAATGTCTAGCATAAGTATACTTGATATCAGAAGACACCCTATCGGTAAATTGTATTCAGAGATGCGATTGCCTACCTTCCACTTTTCTTCCTCGCATATTTTGATGCATATGTGATATACAAAAAACTAATTTATTTATTCAAATACCCAAAAGGCTCGAGATATATAAGCAGTAGCGGTATTCATTATAATTCGTCTCGTGCAGCTTAAATGGATAGCTTTTATATTCCTTGGCATCTTTTGCCAATGCTGCTAGCTGTTTCTAAGCTTTTATACTGTTAAAATTTTAAATATAAAGTTTTTTTATAGGACACCAGTGCAAGAACATTATTTTTTGTGGTTGCAAGAGGTACTGTTCTTTTAATAATTTGCAGAGCCTATTTATAAGAAGGCTGACAGTGGCCCGAAAGGTGGGGAAGCACAGGAAGATGAGAAGTGCAGCTGCTGTAACTCCTTCCATGCCTACTCCAGCGCTCACAAAGGAGAGTGCTGTCGCCGAGCTGGAGGTTCGCATAATTTTCATTTCACATTTATTTTTTACATATGTTGCTCAAATGTTTCTTGTTGCACTGTTCCAGGCTCTCAGATCGGCTGACCTGAGCACCGTGGCACTGGATATAGAAAGAATGAAATGCCTTCTTGAGGTCACTTACGAAGATCGCTGCAAGCGTCACGATGATCCTTTGCCTCAATATTTCTTGTTAGAAAGCATTGTAAGTGCATATTTATTTACGAATATTAAAAGAACACAAAAACTCGGCATTGCCTAATATTCTGCTCTAAAACAGAGAACCGATCATATAATTATAATTTGTGGTATGGGTCAAGCTTTGCCTTCTGCTCAATTGTAAATGAACCGATTTATAATTATTTTTTTCGTTTTTGGTTGTGATGGCACGAAGGATATCAAAAGCCACTTTTGCGAGAAATATATATATATATATATATATATATATATATATATATATATATATATATATATATATATATATATATATATATATATATATATATATGTGTGTGTGTGTGTGTGTCTGTGTGTGTGTACATATATTTCATTTCATTGCACCACCTTTTCTTCAGGGATGTCTGATTTGCAATTAATGACTGATTTTACTTCCTTGTACCAACTTTTCTCAGCTCTGCATTGAAGTCGAACTCCGACTTAAGTGCAAGGTTGGGGACCTGGAGAAAAAGGTGAAAGCGGTGGTGGAAGCGTTTTCACATAAAGAAGAACGGGAATGCACATTCGTCGACATTGGCAAGCATTTACAAGGCCATTCTAGGCACACACTCATCAACGAGGTTTGTGGAATTATTTTCATGCATCCATCTATTAGTTTTTGTGACATCCAGTGCATTTTTCTGCTTTAAGATTCATTTTCATTATTATTTCATTATTATTATTTATTTATTTCTGAACGAAAACATACAGATACGTACGGGCCCGCAAAAGCACGAAGGTGCTTGTGGGCGGGTCCCGACAGCCAACAGAAGTCAAAATTATACAATATCAAAATGCAACTGCACATGCAACCGCACACATATTAAAACATAACAAAGTCTGCACTGAGACGCACGCACTGAACTAGTTAGTATGAGTAAGACACCAATATTTTAGGCATCTTTTAACAACACTGAATGACTGTAAACAAAATAGATCGTCAGGTAATTTATTAAAAAAGTATGGGACATAAAATGATCTTACTCTTTTTCCGTAATTCGTCAAAATCCTAGGCTGAACAAACCGCTCTGTTTTCCTTAGTGTTCTTTGCTTTCTTAATGGTACCTTGAATGTGTCGTTATAATAATGTTTTAGACAAACTACATAGATGTACAGTCGTTCAAGGGAAAGAATTAGAAGAGACCTCATTCTTAAATCAGGATCTACACCGCTCCACCTTGTTCTGTACGCAATACTTTTGGACACATTGTGTAGAATATTATCTAATTTTGTTTTCTTGTAATTTGAACATGCTCCATATATCGTTATACCATAACGGAGCACCGATTCATCTAACGCTTGGTACACCTTCATCCGTAAACTTACGTCAGATACCATACGCAGATGAAACAAGTATGCGGAAACCACGCGAAGACGCTTCGCAAGGTAGTCTATGTGAGTGCCCCAGTTTAAAAATTTGTCGAAAAAAAGACCGAAATACTTTACAGATGACATATATTCTAAAGGTGTGCATTCACAGTCTCTGCAGTCAGACTCATGTAGCATTAAAGGCGTAGACAAATTTAATACTTTGTGAGGATTATGAAAATGCATTAGTTTCGTTTTGTCCGCGTTAACTAAGATTTGGTTAGCTCTGAACCAAGCCATCAACCCATGTATATCGCGTTGAAAATACGATAACGCTGTGGCTTCGTCATTACTTGCAAAAACCAGAACAGTGTCATCCGCGTACTGATATACCGTCGAAGAAAATGGTAGACTGCCAAGGTCATTTACATAAATATTAAAAAGAAGACGACCGAGAATGGAACCTTGAGGGACGCCCGTACTAATTGGCAATATATCGCTTTTAACGTCACAAATGCTTACCATTTGGTGACGGGCCGAGAGGTAGTCAGTTAAAAATTCAATAAAAGGGCCCCTAAAGCCAATGCGTAGTAATTTCTTTATCAGTATTTTGTGGTTAATTGAATCAAATGCCTTTGTTAGATCCAGAAAGAGAGCTAACAAAATGTTGTTATCTATGTTCTTGTGGATATGGTAAGAGAGATCTTCCAATAACGTAATTGTTCCTCTATTTTTTCTAAACCCATACTGGGACGGGTATAACAGGGAGTATTTCTCACAGAATGAAGTCATTATGTTGAAAACGAACTTTTCCAGTATCAATGAAATCACGGGCAGGATAGAAATTGGTCTGTAGTTCGATATGACTTTACGGCTACCTTTCTTATAGATGGGCCGCACGACCGCGATCTTCAGGCCGTTGGGGATCTGACCAGTAGAAAGGCACGAATTGATTATCTTCAGAAGTACGTGCTTTAGGTGCTTAAAATTTGCCGATATATCTCTTAGGCGAATCCTATCAGCTCCTGGTGATTTGCCTGGAGCCATATTCTTGATAATCTTCACTAAGTCATCCTCTGTCATCTGCGTTAAATAAGCCGAGTTTCCGCACCCACTAACGGGGCTGGATGCAAAGTCCGGAACACCCCTCATTTGGGAGTGAAGATCTGACACGCTACGCACAAAAGTAGTATTAAATTTGTTACTTAGTGAATTCAAATCAGTATCACTAAACGCTTTCTTAATTGTTTCATCTATGATTTCTTTTTTCTTGTGGCCAGTTAGTTCCTGCACAGTTTGCCACGTTTTCTTCTGATTTTTTTGGTTTTGCTGCAAACCAGTGCTATAGTGCCTTTTCTTTGCTAGCCTTATTTCAGCAGTTATTTTATTCCGTAAGGTTCTAAACTCCGCTTTCAGTGCGCTGTTTGCTGGGTTAGCTTTCACTCGATTCCATAGTATATTCTTTTCATGGCACAATTCCATTATTTCCACAGTAATCCACGCATTTCTGCTTTTTCTTTGTATTATTTTTATTTCTTTCTTACTGTTGTTATATATATATTCAAATTGAGCCACCATTGTTTGATATGCAGTGATATGATTCATGGTGAGTAAACTACTCCAGTCAAATTGCTTAATAAAATTATATATTTTTCTTCTGTCTACAATCACGCTGTATTGATCAACCATGTCATCTTGCGGCGCGCCACAAAATGCTATAAAGGATACAAAATAGTGGTCTGCAATTTTTTGCTTAATTACTCCAGAGGCAAATTTTGCTTTATTTAGTCTCACAACTACATGATCAATCGCCGTACGTGTAAACCGATTACCAAGAAACTCTTCTCTTGTGAAATTCGTGGTCAAGTTTTCTAATCCAAAACCTGATAACAGGTTCAGATAATTTGCAACTCCATTGTTCGCAACTTTCATTACATCGATGTTAAAATCGCCCGCGAACACTAGCTGGCTATCATTGCCAAACGTGTTTAGTAATCCTGCTAACTCGTCAAA